GATTGCTGTCAGGATCTTGGACTGCTGAGCTGCCAGGTCATCCACCCTGCGCTCCATACGACCTATACGGTTATCCCAGTTAGTGAAGTAGGAACTGGTGGATTTGTGTTCCAGAATGGCCCATTCCGCCAGATTCCTAGTCACCTGTGCACAACGCTCATCAGACACAGCCTTGCCTAGCTGCTCCAACAGATACTCCTTTCGTGAAGCATCTGTTGCAGCCTCTAGCTCGGCTGCCTCCTTTCTCTCCAACTCATCAAGCAGGGCCTGTTCCTGCTGTAATCTTTCCTGAGTCTCCTTCTTTCTTCACTGAGTAGCAGTCAGAGGAGTAGTAGGGGTGGAGGTAGTAGGTTGTTCACCTTCTACCTTCATCACTACTTCTACCAGTGGCTGCTGCTGAGCGACTTGGTTAGCCATTTTCCGCTTTCAACACACAAAGATAACCAAACAGCAGAGAGTATGCAGCAATGTACAAATCCCTTCAGGCACTCCAAATCGCTGTTGTCTCATGCACAGAAGCCAAGTGGGTGAATAAGCACCAACGGTTTGGGTTGGAATTGTTTCTCTAGGGTGAGGTGTCAGACAGACAATTAGTCTAGTAAAATCATTCACACGATTCCCTTTTACTGACCCTGCACCATACTGGAGCTAGTAGAAACAATCCACTACTCTTCCAAAGGAACACTAGATTTCCAAAGCCCACTAGAAAACAAGAGTAATCAGTGAGAATGAAAGAAAAGGGCAAGCACAGACAAGAAGGATCAAACAAGCAGAGCAATTTAGTTAGAACCCCTAAATCCTAGCCCAGACTCTACCTTCAACCCTGATGACTCTGGCAGCCATACTCTAGGGTATGGCGAGGTACAGTATTCACTGTATCCAATGAAATATTAGAAATCCCATCAAGCGATTCTGCACTAATCACTATTTTTGAATTGCGATTTACTCTAGGGTATGGCGAGGTACAGTATTCACATAATTGAATTCTGACGGTCAGAATTGGAGTTATGACTGACCCTAATTGGCACAGGCCATTAATAGACTCAGCGCAAAACTGCAATTCACAGTATCAGTACCTTTCTAGTACAAAATTTCAAAGTCGGGACATCCAGGATCAATCGCAATACAGTCAAGCAGTCGCAAAACAATTTTGGATTGAAAAGAGTCAACAGAGGGTTAGAAATGAGCAAAGGAAGGTAGGGGAGAGATGGCTATGGCTGTCATGCAGTTAGTGATTTCGACATCCAGTCGCTGACAGACAGATAGACCAAATCTAATCCTATCTGAATCACTATACAGGTAGGTGCATGGAACGGACTCACTTTTAGAGTTTTTGCAGAGCTTGATGAAGATCTGGCTATGGCAGACTGAAACTCTTATCTCACCAGTTTCTTCCAGAGCTTCCTCCTCTCTGTCCCACGCACAAAACCCTTTCAAACTTGTTGATTCTCTTCAGGATCTTGAGGCCCTGCAACCCTTGTTGTCAGATTCCCTGAATCTGACTCTGTGGCACCCCAAAACGCCAACTGATAAAATCTCGCCACAGGAGCTGAGATCCGCTGATGCTATAAATAGCCCCAGATGGGGTTATTTCCTCCTGAGATTGACACAGACTGTCAACCTCCCTCAGCGCTACTCAGGGATGAAGCCGCTCTGCGATCCCTGAAGTCTTCAGGGTTAATTCGCCACTCAGGGGTACTTCCCTAGACTACCCTCGGGGTTGGCTATGGCGAATTGACCCTGTTCTCACCACTTTCAAACAAGCGCCCTGTCAGGCTCAGTGTGCTTGCTCAGTGCAAGCACTGAACTCCGGAATCCACCGCTGGAAGTCTTCTTCCCTGCTGACTCAGTATTGGGGAAGATGAATCGCCATGAAGCTCTCGCCAGTATGTCGCCAAATGAAGAAGCTGCCCCTTGCACTCAACCCTCAGTGCTCCAATTCCAATCGCGCTCCGATACCAACTGTTATGAACCTGGTTGTCTGACGATTGTTACTACCACTCACACACAGACAGTCTCATACACGCCCATACATGCATAAGAGAAGGGGGAGAGGAGGCAGAGTCCAAACTGCACACAGATCAAAGTAGATAGCGGAAGCACAACCATGCACAGATGGGGAGAGGACACACAGTGTTTCTCACTCTCTGACAATACTCCCAACAACCAATCACAAGGAAGAACCTGCGAGGATAACAATTGGAATACACACTGATGATGAGCCAATTAACCAGAAATCGTTACAGAGTTTGTTCCAGTGTCTCGCCACTCTCAGAACCTCACACTCCACTCTCTACCCTACACCCAGTTAGTAGCGCTACATCAGAATGGCCTCCCAGAGGCCAGCACAAACCACCCAGATGAAGAACAGATCCTGCGATGAAGTCTTCAGTGCCGCTGAACAACTCTGACGAAAAACCAGCAGCTATGGCTACTGTCACCCACAAGGACTCAGTGAAGAGTCTTCACACAGCCCCGCCACTCGCAGGAACCCACAGGGGTTGGTGCGCAGAGGATGCCCCAGCTATGGCAAGTCCTCAATAGGCTGGCTATGGCTGCTGTCCCCGGTGAGGGTCTCAGGGTGCCGCCTGCAGACAATCGTCGCTCCAAAACTCTCCTGGCTCCAAACGCTGCATCACGAAAATGAATTGGCAAAAGTCCCAAACCGATTCCCCTAGACTATTAATAGACTTCCACTACTCTAGCCTAGACCTAGACCGGACCGACTGACCGACCGGTACCGTTTCTGTTTCGGCCTCTCGGCCTCTACCGGACCAGGCTATAGCCTATAGGACCGTCTATCAGCTTAGGCCCTTAGGGCCTGTCTGTCCTAGGGGCAGCCCGGGCCTGCTACGCAGTGAGGGTAGCGATAGGAAATTCGAAGTCCTGTTGGGCCTATGTTCCCATATTTGCAGATATGTCCCTCACGGATTTTCCTTACAGGTAGGTCCCTCGGTTAGCCCTCAGCCATACAAAATTACAAATCTGACCTAGTGCGGTACTGTACAGCCTCGCGGTTAGTCTCGACAGTTGAAATCAGCAAGTCATTGCAATTGTCTTCGGCACACTTCTGTTTGCCACCAACCTTCTTCACGGTTGCATGCTCTACCAAATCCCATGTATGTTCTTGTCATTTCACTCTGTTTTCATTTGCCCTTAACGTTATTTCTTCACCATTATGATTCCAAGTTGCAACCTATCATTTCTTCTTTTCGCTAGATACAACACGGTTCACAGAAGTTAGGATTGCATTGCTGCCGTCACATGGGCTAGGATGGTGCTGCCAGGCTCCTTTTCCATAGCTTTCTGGGAATCTGATTCCCTGGGACCTGACCTGACCTCTCTCTCTCTCTCTCTCTCTCTCTCTCTCTCACACACACACACACACACACACACACACACACACACACACACACACACACACACGCACACACTGTGGCATACTTCGCACCCAACGGGCCTGCAGGGCCCGACCAGGCAGAATAAGGGCCCGACCAGGCAGAATAAGGGCCCTCCAGGCCCTATGTCGTTTCAGCCTAAAACCCTAAAAAGAAGGGCCAATTTTAGGCCCTCATAACAGTTGGTATCGCAGTGTCGCACGTGAATCAGGACAACCTGATCTGACACGTGTGTGGGGACTAGGTAGCTGATTAGGCTTGATTGATTGATTAGAGCACACTAGTTAGCCCCCAAAATCACGATTTTGAGCTTATTGCCGAAAATCGAATTTTTTTCTTTTCTTGGATTTGTTTTCTCGCTATTTCTGTTGTGGAAAAATGCAATAGCGCAACATCTGAAATTTCCGTTTGCGTTTTTCTTCTGAAATCCAAAATTTCAATGTTGGAAATCCGGAATATCTTTTTTCTCGAAAATTCCGATTTCCTGTTGCATTTTCTGTTATTTGGAAATTCATAATATTTTTTTCCGAAATTCGTTTTTCTGAAAACGGTACGGGAAATCCCTCTTGCAGTACCATTTTCCAAGCCGCGAATACTCCCATCTGAGTAAGTCCGAATGCTTGGTATTTCTTTTCGAATTTTTTTTTTTCGCAGTTCTATGTTTCATTGGCAGTCTGAAGTTCGAATTTTTTTTCTCATTGATACTTTCGCACTTCAAGGGAGGTTGAGAGACCTACTGAACTTGCAAAACTCGGGATTTTTATTTTTTCGAAAATTTTGCAAAGTTTAAACTTTTCTTTTTGATTAGTGGCTCCTTATTTGGACGTTATTTGGGCGATTATCCCACCCACCCCTCCCAACCTATGTTGTTGCCCCCTCTGGTCTTACCTTCTCTATGTCTTCGGGTACCCCTGCGGCGGCATTGGTGAGTTGCCACGTCAGCAGGCCATGTCAGCAGGACACAGCAGCCGAACAGTGCCACGTTAGCAGCAGGGAGTGCCACGACCGCAGTCCTCTGGCCTGATCAATGCTCATGCGCTTACAAATAGCCGGCATGGATCAGAAGTCCGGGGAAATGGACGAGGCCTATCAGGCCCAAGCAGAGATCAACATCGGCCGAAAGTGGCCGTGGTCATGGCGGCAACGCCAACCAACCAATCTAGTGAGGCCGTGTCTGCCAATGAAGGGGACAGACTCGCAGCCGCCCGGGATGGTGGCCGCCCCGACAAAGGCCGAGGACGCGGCAAGATGAAGACAAACACCACATTTATCCTCGGGCCCGACGCAACAGCTTCAGCCCCATGGACCCACTACTACCAATCAGGAAACTGAGCATCGCTGGGAGTGACTCAATGACACTCTCGACGTCTTCGGAACCGGTCGCTTCGCGGGTGACTGCCCTTCGTTCCGAGGCACGTACGGTGTCGCACTTTTTCTAGTCGGGCCACTTCGAGCGACCAGAAAGCCAACAGGCTGTCACGCAGGATTTTGTATGTGATTGCAATAAATAAAATAAATTAAATAATGCAAATCCCTTCCTGTTGTGTGCGCCCGGCTTCGAGCGAGACCCTTCAATTGCGGGCTTCGCCGGTCCCCGGTCTTAGGAATCTTTTATTTTGATTCGGAACAACAGAGAACCGTGCAAATAGAAATCCTAAAATTATGGGGTGCTATGCTTGCATCAATTACGTCAATCTGATTTTGAGAACTGTGTCAAAACATCCATGAAGGCAAACATCATGCAAGAATAATGCAAGAGGCATGGCTGACTGGAACAATGACAAGGTCAAATGAATGAGGGAAGAATGAGAACTCATAATTGTCTCAGAAAGTACATATGGAAGAGAGCATGGCCAGCACCAATCAAGAGTCCTCATTCATCCCTTTGAACTTCACATTCAGTCTCTCATCTAGTTGTCTGCCTCTTGTGCTTTCGGCCATGTCCTCGTGCTCTCTGAGGTTGTGGCCTTTGTATGTAGAGCCACCTGAATCCTGCAAGTTCCGAACACTTCCACCCGAGCCACATGATACGGAAATCAGCCATAGCACAAAACTCCTCCCATAATGTAGGGAGGTAGGGCCGAGAGAAAACCCCTCGTCTGAGATGCGGGTACTCAGATGGCTCGGTCACTGCCTCATAGTCAATTGGCACATGGGAAATATACCTCTTGGCTAAGTCCACCAAGTCACCCCAGCAAGATCCATCAGTGAGAAAGGAGGGTACTGGAGGCCTGGGGTAGTCAACATAGGATTTTGGTCTGAAGCTGCGAAACAACTTTACCCCTCTCTCATCAAGTTCCTTCTCTCTCGTCAAGGTACTCAGCCGCTGCAATCCAGACTGAGTCGAAGTGTGCATGGAACTCCCGGCCTTTCTTCAGGTAAGGCCTGAGGTCATAAACGGTGCCCCCTGCGAAGCTAGTGAGGACTACAAAAACGGACAGGTCCTCTCTCCTGAAGCGAGTGATACTAACATACTGATACCTAACTGCCTCCTTGGAAGAGATCTGATTGAGGCTGGCCAGTACTGATTCACTGATCGGTGTGGACTGAACTGTACTCATGGGTAGACTAGTCGGTGCAGATTGACTAGATGATCACTGAGAACTGATCGCTGAGAGCTGATTGTTGAAGACTGTTAGCTGAGACTGTTTCACTGCAAATTGTTTGGGCGATGTCTGACCGCTGATCTGGCTACTCTTCTGATTGCTTGCTGACCTGATTGCTTAGTCTGATTGCTAATCTGATTACTGGTCTGGTTGCTGGTCTGGTTGCCTGTTTGGTTGCCTGTCTAGTTGCCTGTCTGGTTGTTGCTGAGTACCAGTTGAATGATCGCTGATCGGCTGCTGATTAATGGCTGACTGAGAAAGTTGAAAATCACTTGAAATCGCTAACCGAGCACTGACTGAGTGCCAATCAAATGTCGGTTAACTGCCGATTAACTCCTCTCTTTAGACGAGGCAAGGAAAAATTCGAGATGTCTGCTGATTGCTTTTGGTTTGCTAACCGATTCACTTACTGTTCTGAAAAACTGACTGGTTACCCGCTGTGAAAATTGACTGATTGCTTGCTTGAATGACGATTGTCGTCCGTGTTTTATCGATACACGGTGCGCCCCGTTGTGATCTGTTTCCTAGAGACCTGCTTACTTTCTCTAATTTGCCTTCGCCTAAAGCGAATTTGCCTCCCTCGGAGTAGATGGCTAGGCTCTCTTTCTTATTCCAGTAATCTCCCTCTCTACCTCCTCAACGATTCCTACAGATGAGAGGGTGCTGTGTAACCTTCCATCCGATCCATGAATGTAGAAAGTATACTCAATAGATGTATGGTCCTTCACTCGTTTTAGAGCCTGTTCCATCATAAGTTTCGTCTGATAACGGAGGCCCTGTGTAACTCTTTCCTCCCAACCCTCACCTTTGTCTTGACGTAGGGTGCAAGTTACCCTCAGTCTCTTCTCACAGCCCATTTCCGTTGAACTTCTCATCGTTGACCTCTGTGCGTAGAAGCTGTGGCGTTCACTAAACACAAAAAAAAAACTGGTTTCTTAAGGATCTTCACCTCGGTCTCTTTTAGCAAGTAGGTGACTAACAACCACTGGCGGCGGAACCCAATTAATCATACAAGAGGAGAGTTGTTGTCTGCGAATTCCATGTTGATGTTGATTTTTATAGGGTCTGAACCAAGTTCACAAAATCTGCACCAAGTTTGCTGAGTCTAAGTTCTCGTAATTGACCATGCTGAGTATTATCAGAGTTTTAGCAATAGCGTGGGCTCAGGGAACCCATCAGTCAACCTGTCAGTCTCCCACTTGAGTTCATAAGCGATTGTCCAGGCTTACTATTACTCAAGTCCACAACCACCAATTTGGCCTAGATAATTCAGCCGGATATAAGTTATGTCTTACCGTGCATTGATTATGCCCATAAGGGTCTGATCTTACAGGGCCCGAAACGAGTCCACAAGATTTTATGACATGTTTGTCGAGCCAGCATCTGGCTACTCACTGACAAAACCACCTACTGTATAGCACTTGAGTTCACCAAAGCTTGAGTCGGATCCTGAGCGTTCGAGTCTGATCCTGAATGTTCGAGTCTGATCCTGATGTTCGAGTCTGATCCTGAATGCCCAAGTCTGGTCTTGAATTTTGAGTCTAGTTTGAATGTGTGGATCCGCCCGGTTCGGCCAATCGTTGATCAGACCGCACCTACCTAAATGAATCCACGAGACTAGGCTTAAGTTTGATAGGCCTCGTCCGCGGACTCGTCCAGTAGGGAATTTGTCGGCTATTTCTCTGAGCCGACTGTTCGCTAGTTTTGCGTCCCACTGAGCTAGATAAATTTGTACTCAGTTGTCTACCAATTGCGCGAGACACGACAATGACTATCAACTGATTTGCGGGGTGAGACTCATCTACTCGTTTTACTCACATTGAAGCAGCTCCATTAATTTGAAAACGTACCACTCATCTCTTGACGGCGAACCCCGTGCTCGCGACGTAGCATAGCTATGAGTTTCTCCTCGCCTGTTTCGTTATATTTAACAGGAGGAAGCCCGGGATCAACTAATTTTCACCTGAGTCGAAAGACTGTAGCACACACCCTTGCTCCAAACTCTACGAGAATTTCTGGCCTTAGGCTTTCGTTGCGTCCCCCCTTTTTTTTTTTTTTACACGATCCACGTCAGGTAGACAGCATGACCGGCCTGAGTAAAAACTGAAAATGATTCAATCTTCATCTAGGAGAAATTTAACTAACAAAAGGATAACCCTTTTTAGGACTTGTCGTTTCCTGCTCATTGGACCATAAAGTCGAATTATTTCGCTCTGTTCTACGCTTTCACAGGTATCACACTTCCTAGGTTGCTGCTCATGATCAGAACCATCACATTGGTAACCGATGCTTCTCTGACCTGCCCACTAGCTTCTTGAGAACTGATATTGTCCCACTCTTTTAGAAGCAGACACGTAGACATCAATCCGAGAGATGAGACGATTATTCTCGTTCACGAGTACTTACAAAAAAAAAAAAAAGAGCAACTTAGAGCCGATCGAGTCATAAATGATCTCGTCGCCTCGTCAAGTGATCAATGAGTTACCCGGCGTGAGACCAACCCAACAACTTTTAGATAAATCGTCAAAAGCAATTCCCTCAATCTTGCAAGACATTAAGTTGACTATGCATATACAGAGTTTCTACTTTGATCAGGGGAGCTCGAACTACTGTCACCAACGAAGCTAATCATTTGTCTACGTAAATAAACCCCCTCCTTCTTTTCAGACCTCTCGATAACGCGTTCCAACGACTAATTCCCCGCTCACCGTAAATTTCTTTATGGCTTACCCTACTCAGCTCCCAAATTATACACGCACATATATATATATATATATATATCAGCCTCCTGATGAGTCGGTGAAACTCCGACGAAACAGTTTGTCACAGCCCCTCATTTGTTGTCCTCTTCCCCCTCTCTGCCTACGGTTTACCGGGCAGTTCTATTTGACGATATATACTATGACTTCGCTAGCTTCCTGCGACGGTTTTCTCCGGTCAGGTCCAGCGGCAGTGGTCGGGGCCGTCACTACGCGGCCATGCTGTGCCTCTAGTGCCAGCGGCGTGTCTGGAGTGTATTTTTTGGCTGTGACAGACCTTTCTTTGTTTCGTGGGTGTTTTGCTGGCTTGTGATGGGGTGTGAA